TCACCTCTATAAGTCAAATTGTACTTTTATATAAAAGCTCTCTCTCATATTAACACAATAGCCAATACAACTACTCTCCTACTTTAAGGTATCTTTTTACTGATTGTCTTACGCTTCTTTGGTAATCCTGTTATTAACGCGCCACTTATACTGTTTTTTAGTATCTTCTTTTTGTTATTATTATAATATTGGTATAAACGGTTTAATTACCCAAGTTTGAGATTTACGCTGTGAAGACAACAACCACAAGACCCGCGTGGCGAAGAACGAGCAAATACAATTCGTCCAAGCTAGCAGATCAACACTGTGTGGAGCTGCACTCAAAGGAGCAAGTCAACCGCCAAACTCTCACGTGGAACCCTAGTCGTTGGTTCATTGGGCAATCATAGCCTACAGATCAATTGTAGTGCCCTAAAACTACAATATCTATTTCTTGACTCTCAAATTCACAGCGTCTCAGACGTCAAAGGGTAAATACCTATATTGCAGAACCATCAAATAATAAGGATCACAAAACAGATCCACTTTCGAGAGTCAAGCAGAGACAACAACTAGCAGATAGTCCGTACGCTATCTAATATTTACTACAACCTAATATTCTCACCACTGAACTACTACTAAGTAGTGAGCGGCTCAACGGTCACTACCACGCAAGTGCATCCAACGCAGCCGCCACTATACTATACTGAATGCATATCTGGCCTTTACATTAACTCGCAATAGCCTATCGATGTATCCAGCTAGTGCTGCTATCCTCGAAAAGAATTCTCCTACCAATTCCCCGACCTTGGAGGGATAGAAGGCTCGGTGAGCCTTGGGCGCAGGTCGACCCTGTGTGCATGGCAGGGCGTCCCGACTACTTTGCTACATGTGCCCTACAATGCCTAACCACTCAGATAATCTAAAATACGAAACCAGTGATTATGAAACTCCATCAGAAAAGTGGCGACACCAGGTGATATCTTGAACAGCAGAAATAAAAACGACACCTCTAATCTGTGTTTCCAGTCGCTATCGGGCTCGAGCATATACGACTCAATTGTTCTTCGGCGCGCTTCTTCCTTAATAAAGAACTTCTCGAAAAACACTTCAGAGTAACATACAATGTCCAATGTGGAAAACAGTACAGCGCATTTACACTGAATCATGCAGGTGATTCCACTGGTGAGAGCCGATGACTTATCAAAAAAGAAAAGTGGACGGTCGCACAACATAGATTTGTACCCACTTTCGCTACACGAGCTTTTTTCATCTCCTCTTCATTTAATCCTTTATCGCGCCATCTAGCAAAACATCGTTCTCGCCTCATCTCCTTCTTCTTACGCACTGGGTTACCAGATTTATCCTTCTTCTTTGGTAAGCGATCATTGTGGCTCGCGTCTTCCTTTACAAGCGCCCTATCCGCTTGCAGATTCTAAACAAACAAAATCGTACTCTGACTTTGGTGCACATATGAACGCTGCTTCACTTATATCACATGGACTATTATTGACCATCATAAACGTCAAATCTGAACACTTACTTGAATAATTGAATGGGTAGTCCTCACTGGTTGTGCGGGCCCCAGCATAATCTCCATTTTTCGGAGATTTGCTGACCAAACTATTGTGGTTCTCTGGAATCTCGAGGTCAGCTTGGTCAAAGTCTGCCTCAGGTCTTCACCACCACAGGCAGTCGCAGCCATTGTGGATCAGAGAGAGAGTGGCCACCATGCGACTAATATGATACTAGGACGGTGATGGATCCTGGTACTGGTTTACTCTTAGCTAAGCTTCCTAACGGAAACGCCGGGCTCCTTTTAAGCTTGGGAGACCTTGCCAGGAGGATGCAGACCGCAGTTTGACACCCAGCAACAACTTCCAGCCACGATGAGGCGGTAAACCGTTGAGAGAAAAGGTCAAACATAAGTTATAAATACGTATTCTTGTGCTCTCGCACTTTTAAAAAAACTTCCTCCACTCAAGAAACATAAACATCATAATTTACTTCAGAGGGTTGGCAAAAAGGACAATCACTGCGTTGGTAAAGACCCTGTAGACCGTTTAAGACGCTGCGGTGTTAGTTATCTAATGGTGCAGTGGCCCATTCCGTCACATCAGAGTCGTAAGTTGATATAAGCTAAAAATGTGCAATGACAGTGCAGAATGAGAGTCCACAAGCTAAATTTCTAGGGCAACAGGTCGATATCTGTCAAAAATGTCCGTGAAGGTATCTCACTACGTTAAGCTCAAATGGGTTGGAACACATGAATGCTTTGCTCACCGACAAAGAGCACTAGCAAAACCAAGTCGAAATTGCTAGAAATTCAGCTGGTAATGACTTCTTCAACTGTTTGTTTCACAGATTGTGATCACGTTTAACTTAATAGAACTGAGGTATCTTGTTTCACGAGTGAGAAATGTGTTCTCCACGATAAGCAATTCTCGTCGAGTTCCGAACAAATCTATATTCATCATAACCAGAATATAAACTGTACAAACTCCTATAAATAAAAGATAAAACTCTAGGCGTTGATCAATCTCTGAGGGATGCGCCATGACCTCCAATGATGCTTATTGATGCTGAATGCACAGTGCTGCTATCCGCATAGACAAACGTGGCACTAATTTGCCTAACCCTGAGGGATGGAAGGCTTGGTAGTCCTCGGGCGTCGGTTTCGATCCCATATGTATTTCAGGGCGGTTCCGACCACTGCGCTACAGGCACCCCATGTACTCCTATGGCAAAACGTATTTTGAGACTTCCATATTATACATAAAAGGCACGAAAATCTTTAAACACTTCCCAATCCAGAAGGTGAACATTTATTTTCAAAAATTGGGGCTGAAATGAGCAATTAAATCTTTAATACGTGGTAACATCTTAGGACATCTCAAAACATTACAGAACGAAATTTAAAAAAAGCCTAAAAAAGATACTTACTTACCGCCCCACAAGCTGTTGCTTCCTCTCGAACATTTCTCACATTTTTTGTGTCGCTTCTCAAGTACTCGTTCATTTGACGAAGGATCCGTCGCTGACTTCGAGATAAAATATACTTCGTGCAGTCTAGTCTACAGAGAACAGACATTTTTAGAGATTATCAGATCAGTACTATGAATATGAGCATGTCTCACCTGATCGTGTACTGTGGGCAACACGTCCGATCCATTATTGGCTTATAAATATACCTACCCGACCTAAAATGAAGTACATTTACCAAATCAAAATTGAAATTAGAAGATGTGAAAGTAAAATAAAAATGACATGAATTGATTATTTTCTTGAACAGTTTGCATAGCAAATCACGTTTTGTTTACTCTCTATTCTTTTTTAATGAAATGGTATGCTGTGAAATATAACTACAGTGATGCTGAGATATTTGCAAAACTCCGAACCGCAGTTGTCTGACGGTAGGGATGAACACGCTATTACCTTTTCCGGGTGGTAACGCGTTCACCACCACACCATGCGGGTCCTTCGTTTCGCCTTTCTCTCAACCATGTTTTTTGTCTTTTCATCTCCTTTTTCTTTTCTTTGTCTTCACCGTTCTCAATTTTAGTCTGTGTAGTCTTTAAAAATTCTTGCATAGTATCGCCTACAGTATTTATATATCACTATAGCTGAAAGCTAGCTAGAATGACCATTGTAACATTAACACAACGTCTGTCCAAAATGTTATATAATCATGGATTAGCAAAAGATGAACCTTCGCCATCCTTGGTCCAGGAATCTCTGATAGTTGGCGCAACTGAGACTGTGAGCCCAAACTCCTAAAGTGAAATCTGTGGTCTATGTTGGACAACCGAATTATAGTTAACTTTAATCTTCAGTAGATTGTATATCATCGCCTTGTTGAGATGGTTTTTAATGTTTCACCTCATTTACACCTTAATGTGAACTCAAAAATAAACGTTACCCACAATTAGGACTCGAATGGAGCGAGATAGGTAGCTTGACAAAACTTTCATTAATTAGAGATAATTTTTAAGCCACAGAAACGTATTTTCCAACAAATACATAAATTAAATTTTACTATTATCTGCGGTCTAACACATTCGCCATGATGCGAACTGATTTCAAGTCGTCTATGGCAAAAAATAATTGCATTTTTTACTTTGGGAATGTATATCTCAGAACGCAGCAAAGTTCATTCACTCGTACTTCATATTTTTTAGTAATATTTTCTTTCCGATTGCTGAACTGGTCAACTGTTCAAGAACCTATAAATAAACCGAATGGAACCACCTCAACTGCTTCATACCATATAAAAAAGTTGAGAAGTCGAAGAAGCTTGACAAATGTATGTCGCGTGAACTGAATGAAAACCAAGCAGATTGCTTTATTGAGGTATAGCCGACGCTTCTTCCTCGTAACCAGAACGAGCCCTTTCTTAGCCTTATTGCAAAATGCAACGAGAAACTGATCCTCTGCGAAAAAGTGCGACGGTCAGCATAGGACTGGACCGCGTTGAAGGTGCCCATCGCCTGCTGAAGCCAAAATTCCACCAAAAAAAGTAGTGCTCCACGGCTGGGGGTCCGTCACAGCTTCCTGAACCCGGTTTGAAACAATCACGTGGCAGAAGCACGTCCAGTAAATCGACGAAGTACATCAGAAACTTCAATGGGCTTGCCGCTTAGTAGTCAACAGAAAGGACCCAATGGTGCACGATGTCGCGTGGCCGGCTCGGTGATGGCGAATCTGGAGCAGTGGTCGGATGCGCTTTGTAATACACTAAGGATCGATCCCTGCGCCTCACGCTCACCAAACCTTTCATCTATTTGTGGTCGGCATATTGGAACGAGCCTTGTCTGGGAGGATAGCAGCACTGGCCCGATACATCGGTAGACCACCGCGAGTGATTGTAAAGTCCAGATATGCATTCAATAATCTCTAACGATGCTTAATGAAGTCGAATGCATGGCGTACCCATCAGGCATTGATTAGCGCCGAGAGCTCTATCCTTATCCTTTATCCTTCTAACGCATGGCCACACGTCGCATTACCGATACTGCAAAAGTTAAACGAGCCGGACTACGAAGCTGTCTGCCTCGTCCATCACACTCCTAGGACCACCCGCTTATTAACTACCATTACTTGGATACTTGGATGGCTCGTCTTCACTACACGTGCGGGCCCCAGCATAATTTCTATCCGGAGATCTTCTAGCTTAGCCATTGCGGTTCCCTGGAGTTTTGAGTACAGTCTGGCCAGTCTGCCCCACGTCGTCACCACCACAGGCAGTTAAGTCCTTGTGGATCAGAGGGAGATTTGCTACAATGCGACTAGCTTGACGCCAGAAAGGTGGTGGATCCTGGTATTGGTTTATTCGTCTTCATCAGAGCTCTTAGCTGGACTTCGTCATAGAAATGTTGGACTCCTTCTCAGCATGGGAGATCCTGCCGTGGGCATGAATTTTTCCGCTGTAGATCACAGTCCGACACCCAGCAACACATCCCAGCCATAATGAGGTGGTAAACCGTTAGCAGGACCTTACCATTGCTTCAAGCATCTCGGATAGTTGTTGTATGAAAAACGCTTCAGAAAGCAAGCCGAGGCGAAGAGTTCTTTCGACCACTCCATCGTCTTCGCACCGAGTTCCATGAAACCGGTATAAATATGATTTTTATTTCGACCAATTAAGTTTATTCTGGTATAATGCTGAGATATTTGCAAAACTCCGGACCGCAGGTGTCTGCGGTGGGGAACGAATGCGCTATTGTCCTTTCCGGGGAGTAGGGCGTACACCACCACACCATGCTTGTCCTTCGTTTCGCCTCTCTCAGCTAGTTTTTGTTATTATAACTATGGGCTCAGCTTAACTGAGTTCAATGCCGATTTGGGTTCCTCAGATCAATCCCGTTGATGGGTGATTGCTGATAGCAAAAGATCGATAGAACTAGTTGAGAGACAAGCGAAACGAAGGACACGCGTGGTGGGTGGTGAACGCGCTACTCCCCGGGAAGGACAACAACGCGTTCGTTCCCCATCGCAAACATCTGCGGTCCGGAGTTTTCCAAATATCTCAGCATTATACGAATTATATTTCGCAACATACTCTGCCATTAAAAAGAATAGGCAGCAAATAAAAAGGTCAAGATTAAGTTTATTCTGGTATAAAATATGCCACTATAAAGGTTTAAGCGGTACATTGATTTTCAGGGAGGATAATGATAATAATTCTTCATTTTAACTTTTAAATACTTATCCAATCTTGATTTAATTTCATCAGTTTTGGTCAATCTGGTGTAATTTTAACAAATTAGTTTCAATTTAATTTTTGCTTTAACGTAAAAGTTTAGTTACCTAATTCCGAGGTATTGATAAAAACGAACCGAATGTTTTTCATTTCCATCCTAACCTCATTGGCTATGGGCGAATTATCCTGGCCAATTTTGCATACTATCTGGTGGGTGATCGCCCAAGTATTCCGGTATTCTGTTATGGATTAAGAGCATTCTTGGATTCAATTGATGGATGGGCTACACGAAAATATGATCAGTGCAGTAGAACTCGTGCCATGCTAGATCAGCTCACAGACAGATGTGATACCATGGCACTTTGTATAGCATTACGTAGAATTTATCCAGATCACACGTTCTGGATTCAGTTGAGTGCAATGAATGACATTTCTTCACACTGGCTTCACTTTAATTGGGACCGATTTCACTCGCAAGAAGATCCGATGCTACACCTCTAATACACAAATCGACACTTCCTTGAATTCATATGCGCCGTAAACGAGGCGTTTTATTTTATCTTGTATATTCGCGCTTTTTATCCAGAACCTGTCAACTCTGAAGTTCGTTCCTTTTCATATTTCACCGCAACAACTTTTACAGTTGCACTGGTGAAATCAGCTATAAGCTTATTGCATTTGATAACTGCAGCTCGAATGTTGCTAAGTATGACGGCGGTGCTATTAGGGCGAAGCAAAAATTATTGATAAAACTATGTAGTTCTCATTGTTTGAAAATCACCTCTATCACCTGTCATCCCGTTGGTGGTCGACTGACTCTAGTGGGCACCAGTAAATCTTTCATTTCTCTTTGTCGCATGCAAATGTAGCCCAGTGGGCTGTGCTCACTGCAGAGACTCGTTGTGAATCATACCTTTCATATCTGGATTTTGTGAAGAACAATAATCATCGGAACAGTAGTATTCCTGCAGAACATTTCACATCCCGGTAAATCCCGTCACTAACGGCTCTTGTCCATCGGTTGTCGTTCATACGCATTACATGTCCGTCCTACCTTGTCCTACTGTTTGGCGTACAGAACGACATCTTTGATTTTTGATCGTTGACGTAAGTCGGAGCTTCGGAATGCCCTCCCTCACTCGTGTGACATGAAGTACTAGTATCGTACTACTGGCCTCGCATTCAATAACGTTGAGTGATCTTTCATCCTGCTTACTCAGCAATCAGCATTTTGACGCATACTTAAGCCACGAAGTGCCGTTAAGTCGAAAAGGTGAGCAAGGAGTCAGGTGTTCTTTGTTCTCTTCACTACATTCCCAATACTCTTGAAAGCTCCCCAATTCACTCGTTTGCTCCTGATCAACTCTGGAACGAAGTTGTTCATCATGTTAATTTCCGGACCTGGATAGGGATAACTGGAGTATTCAGAGGTATTAATTTCATTGAGCGTGAATGGGACATATGTAACCAATCCGTTCTTCATAATCATCGTTTTTATGAGATTTAATCGAAGATTATTCTTCCCACAGGTTTTATCAAAGTCGGGAAGCATTGCTAATACTTGGTGTTATAAAGACGATGTCATCAGTGAAGCGAAGATGGTGTAATTGTTGATCATCGATTTTCACTCCCATATTATCCCATTCTAATTTTCACATGACGTTCTGGAGCGTGGCGGTAAATAATTTTGGCGAGATGGTATCGCTCTAACCCCTCATTTGACTTCAATGTTAATATTGTTGTAGAATGGTGACATCTTGGTTGTGAAATTTTTGTACAGCTCACGAAGAATCTTAATGTACTAAGGATTCCTTAACTATCAAGGGCTTCCGTGACTGCTTCTATCCCAGTTGAGCCAAAGCCCTTCTTTAAATCGATTATAGTGAGACACTGCGGTCTTAGTGATACTTCAGTGAGTCTTGTTATCGTGTGGATGTGGTCCATCGTAATGAATTCTTCTCGAAAGCGTACTCGCTCACATGGCTGCCCTTCGTCCAGTGTTCTATCAATTCTGCTTAGAATGAAACTCGAGTGGAAAGTTCGTAGACGACAGAGAGTAAGCAGATTGGGCGATAGTTGCCGATATCGTGGAGGTCACCGTTCTTGAACAATAGCACGGTTTTGGTCCTCGACTGAACATGGACCTTGCATTCAGACAGATAACGTGTGAAGAGCCGAGCCAGTGTGTTTACGAGGACTGACGGAAGGTTCTTCAGGTGTTCTGATCTCATCCCCTCCGGACATTGCGATGTTCGATTTCTCACCGACGAAATATCGGATTTCGGAGGGGAGAACCGGTGGTACAACATAAGATCCTTCTTTATTGCCCATGAGGCAAAAGGACGTGGCTATTGAAGAGATTTGAGTAACAATCGTGAATGATCTTCTCGATTCTGAGCCGATCGTATTCTTCGTCGACGTTATCGACAACGGCATCTTCCCAGCATCCAACTAATGAATTGAATAAGTCCCAGTTTATGGTGTTTTTGGGACCTCGTTTTTTGAATTTAGCCGCCTTTTCTCCTTTCCGTGAGAGAGGATGTCATGCACGAAGGAGGCGATGGTCTGATCCCGTGTAGTATTCTGGGACAACAGCGACAACGATGAGGCAAAACCTTCGATTTATTATAATGTGGTTTAGCACGTTATGGTACTCTCCACTGCGAGACTCCCACGTCCAGCGGTGAGTGTGGGGCTTCTAGAATTGCGAGTTACCATGGATGATTTTGGTCATCATGATAAACTCGGAGAGCTGCTCACCCAGTTCGTTCCATTCTAATTCGTGGGTCCCCATGTGACGTTTTTCAGATGTTCTTCTAGGTTCAATCTTAGCGTTAAAATCTACAACGATGACCTGGAACAATGTGCGGTCTTCTCTGTAGAACTTCTTCAAGTTTATACAGAACGCTTCTTCTTCTTCGCTATAGTTTGATGTCGGCGCGTAAACGACGAGGATTGTCAAAGCGGTACTGATTCGCGACCAGTCCAGTCGTAAACGTCCGCTCCCGGTTGTTAGTTGTTCGAATGAATCGATGTTCATGGCCAAACTCGTGCTGAGAACGGCGACGCTGCCATCTCCTCTGCTGTCGCATTTGCCAATACACAGTTCTTCTGTTGTGTCATAGATGGCGTTAACTGGGTGATGTCTTATCGTCTCGGTCAGGCTGGTGATGGCGCACCTTCTTCTTTAAGCTTGTGTGATCAAACTTTTTAAACACAGTCAGCTAGGCTACTTTAAATTGAATACTTTACTAGGAAATAGAGATGGCCTTAAAGGTCAACTACATTGTTCAAAAGCGTTCAGATGCGTTAACATGCTCTTTTTCTACAAATGGATCCACATGGTGGATAAGAAATCGGCTGTTTGAATTTTTGTGATGAATACCGTCGATCCTTTCAAATAATCTAATCCCCATTCCGTATCACAATGTGAAGTGGGATAATTCTTTGTGCAAAAACCGCAAAACGAAAATAACAACACTGCTTTTTGATTATCTTCAGATTCATGCTCTTGCACATGTTTATGTAGCTTTGTTACATTTCCACTGTGTTACAAATGACGACCAAATGTTGATCGGTTAATTTTGAAATCCTCCACAACGTTTCAAGTAGTTTTTAAAGTGTCAGTTGCGATTGCCTTTTGATGGCTGTTTCACTACCGCCATTGTCGGTATAAAATTTTCTGAACCATTTGCTCACTTATAGCAACATTTGAAGATACCTAGTTCCAATGCAGTATGTCAATGTTTAGAAGAATAAATGAAAAAGAACGCCATGGCGACTGAGTTATTCACACCGGCTTGAAATCATTGAAAAGCGAGTGGTAGAAAAAGTATTATAGTGGAGCAGCAAATAACAAATGAGCTTTGCAGTACTATTAAGTAACAACGTAAGTAATTAAGCAGTAAGTATTATCCACAAAACCTATTTCCTAAACTTCACGACTATAAAATTTTTATCCATTTAATTAAACCAGATTATAAATTATACTGAATAATTAAACAAATAGCGACAGACTTACATGTACCAACTACATAACTACGTCCAAAACAAACCACAGCACGTTTCATGTCTTAGGCACTTTGGAATCTGTGCTCGCAGTCCAGCGCACATTTATAGCAAAGCATTACCTACCCGCTCCACCCGCATTCCAATAATTGCATAAAACTTTCAGAGTCCATTATGTGAGCAATACAACCTGCAACAATTCCAATGAACATTATATAAAAGATAAAACGCTTGGCTTTGATCAATGCTTCAGGGATGCGCCATACATTTGCATTAGACTTCATCAAGCATCGTATGGATCGTGAATCCATATCTGACCTGCTAAATGACTAACGGTTGCTTATCGAAGTACCGAAACAGTGTTTTTAGCTTCAAAACAAGCCTGGTAACGATTAACCGAACATGGAGGAATAGCGGGCTTCGTACAGACAGAACCGTGTACATACGTATATGTGTATATATACATATATATGTATGTATATATACTTATATATATATATATAAATATATGCCCATAGCGATGTCGATCGTCACGAGCACGGTGTTGGTTCGATCCTGCTTCGGGCTCATCAAGCCTCTCATACCTCTGCGGTCGAAGAATTTGTACACGACTTGTCCGAGAAAGAATTACTCGTTCCAGTCCAAGTGGGAACGCTCTAACCCGGTTATCTCAGGGCTCCAAGGAAAATCAGCTCGACCAGTATTTCACGAAATTCGAGACAAAATGAAAATTTCTCAAGCAGCAGTCGAAAGCACACGTAAAAGTTGTATGACCTTCGTGGATGAGGGATGCGAGGAAACGAATTGAATGTGAGAAGTACTCGGATCCAAGCAACAGCTGTGAAAGACGGATCGTATATATATATATATATATATATATATATATATACATATTTATATATAGTATAGCATATAATGTGTGGTGAAGTACAATGGAAGTGACCACTTCGCCGCCAAAAATGGTTCTAAAAGTCTGAAAATGATGTAAAGTGAGAGGCTATCTGAGTGTATCATGATAAACCTTAGAAACTCTTAGTAGAGAAAATATGAAAACCAGATGGAGCATATTGTGGTAATCGTACGAAGGCCTCGCTTAACCGATATCGTTGTTTTTCGGTTTCCTCTCTGATTTATATAAAAGTCATGTGCATATGTTTATTTATATGTTCTTATAAATTGGTCTTCTTTAGTTGATGCGAAGCTGGTATTGGTTTTCATTTGTTTCTTTGAGGAGGGACACTGAGTCCCACTCGTTACATCACGGCTCTGAGGAAGACGAAATCGCCGAAACGTCAGCCATCGACGAACAAGAACAACAGCAACAACAATAATGACAACGACAACGAAGACCTATACCAACCTCGCATAAGCTAAAGAAGATCAGTTTATAAGATCATATAAATAAATATATCAACTATCTATGTCATGGTTCATAGAAATCGGCCTTTTGAGTTGTTTAGTCATGTACATATGGTTGCGCACATTAATGTTAGGGAGTAAAGGTATGCCTTTCAAATCGTTTTCCTTTCCAAAGCCCGATGAGCTTATCGGAATAGAATTGAACGGAATTTGGTCTGCAAAGCATTGCACTCAAACATTAGAATATTTTACCGTTAGTCATCACCTAAACACGCATAGATCTTCACATAATACCTGCTCAAGTGGAAGGTTCCAAATTCACGGGAAATCGGCAGGGTCTTGCAGTTATAAAAAAGACAATCATCTAACCGATATCGTTGAAAACATCGTTATCCATTTACCAACTTGCCTACCGTTTGCCATCTACATGTCCTTCATTACGGCTATCCTAAACCAGATGGAACGATGCACGAAGGATAGCCATGCGATCAAGTAGGGTTTCTAAAATGATTCAACAAAATTGAACACATCCACACGATGATGGAACTCAGTGGAATACATCAATTGTACAGAAAACGCTTCATACCATTTTTACAGCCGTAAAAAGCGGCTATCCAAATGAGAATAAATCAGTTTCGGAAGCTCTGAACAGCCATGATATCATTGCTTAGTGCGAAAGTAATCCAGATTTTCATCATGCTATCACAACACTGGTATCTATCTCAATGAGTCGACACAACGATAGCTCCTCATCGAAATAATTTACACTCATTCTCAATAGCCGTTCGTAAATGGGAACGGATAACATGGCAATGAAAGCTCAGCAGCTATACTATCTTCACTTTGTCGTCAATGCAGTCACCGAAAAGTCAAGCTGACCGATTTCGACATCTCTAGTGGACAAGTCAATGTTCGTTTAAACCTCTGGAAAATAATGCCCATGAGAAACGTTCGCAACTGATGCTCTATTGGCGTACAACGTAGCGAATTTCTCCAAATGTTGCACCAATATGCATCCAGTGTAGATAAGACAACATGATGAACGACTTCGATTGCAGATCTAAGCAGGAATGATAAAACGGATTGGAGAGTTCACAAGAACACCGAAAATATACTGGACAGAACAAACAACACCCGGCTCTGTACCTACCTTTTCGACTTCGTCCACGACTCTTCTCTGCCTTAAGGCACACCGCAAAACTTGGACACCACGTAGACAAGAATAATAGTCAGTCATCTTATCGACTGGGTCATTGAGAAGGCGAATTTAGAAATTCTAATAGTCAAGAAATGAGAGGGAGTCAAGGGTGTGAACTAGATCATCGATCATTGATCCCATAGATTGCTACATACAACCCGAAGATTTTCAAAATTAGGCAGGAAATGAGAAGTGTCCTAACGACAATCAGTGGAAACTTCGTTAGTAACTCGCTCACACGGGACATCAAGTAGAAAAGAACAACACTACTGTTCAGATGGGCCAGACTTAGTGGCAAAGATTTCAGGAGGAAAATATGAAATTGCGAATATCGTCAATTTCTGCTTTTTCCGTTGCTCGTAATTTTGCTCAAGTTTTTCGTTTCCTAGTCTAACTAATTGAAAGATTACTGTATTGGAAATGTGACGCTCTTTGAGCTCTCAAAGCAAGCACGATCTAAAGCGCAATACGTGCACGCGAAAGGGAGAAATCAAAATCTCGGCAACACCTCTTAGATTCGCTTTTATTATTATTTCTGCACTATTATTGTTGTTGTTACTATAATTGCGGCGACATATCACCTACCAAACGATACAGAATCACCGTCATCCATATTATATGCTTCCCTTTCCGTACCTAACGATGACTTTCCTTTTGAACTCCTGCAGTAGCCGCATGAAGAATTCTCGCTCAATCCGCAATACTCAGTGATAGACCAATTCACCATCTAAATCACATTGGGATCATTAACTAAACTGTAAACACATTAGTCAGGATACAAAACTATGGCTATTGTATCTAACAAATCTGACACCGCAATACTGTGGCACACGGTTCCAGTGCAATAACGTACAAGTTTTACGAATTTTTATACAGAATAAAAACAAAATATTCATGTGTATTTTCGAAAGTCTAGCAGATTTATAACACGGCCACGGCATAAGACAAACACCATGCTTTGTTATTCTCATTATAAACAAAAATATCATGTAAAATGACATCTCATCGAGTGGTAAAATATAGAGTGTTGAACTACGATGTATATTCGGCCTTTATCGCCCAGGCAGAGCCACTAAGATGATACCCAGATTCTGAAGAAATTGATATTTCCTTCCAGAAGCCTCGCTAACAGTAAAGTAATGAGAAGACACGCTGCTGTCGCAACAGCGTGTTCTAAACACACATCTAATTTGTGATTTTTGAACAATGGCTGAATACTAGTTGTAGCATGAACAGACGATCACATGTGCAAATGTGCTCCCATTCCGGTTTTGTTCTGCACTCTTCCTTTCCAAACCGGTGTAGCAAATCGACTGTGAGAAGATCTAACTGTTAAGGAACACCTGCTGTTGGAAGAATTGGTCGTGAAGAATAAAGCAAACTATGAAGGCCATATTGTCTGATGTACCTTGAACATCCAGCTATCGCGTAATACGATATCAAGGAAAAACCGACTGAGAAACGAAAAAGGGAGC